AATTGATAGAAGGAATAGGTATGGTCTATGAAGACAATGTCGATATCTGTGAATAATCTTGGGGAAATTATTAGTCAGGTTGCCAACTGAGTAGAGACGAAGTATTGTACAACTTGGTCCTTTGGTCTAGACTCTTTCGAAGACCCAACAGTTGAAGTTTAATATGGTTCAATAAGGGATCACAGTTAGATCCAAAGCACAACCCAGTGAGATCACAGTGGATCTCGGGATCATAGTTAGATCTCCTGGTCACAGTAAGTTACTGAGCCATAGAAATAGAGATGCGACATCTCTGAGAAGATGATAACTAGGGATAAGTTTATGATACAAAAACCGCTCTAGTTGGCTAACTAATATAGAGAGAGTACCCATGATTTCTTCCCAGCTAGCCCTATTTTCAATAAGGCCAAGCTTAATTTTCTTCTAATCAATGAAGGAAAGCTAAAGTTTGAGGTTGTGGAGCTATAATTCTTGATTGGGATAAATTTAGGCATACTATATAGGGAAGATAATACTAGAATAGCATAAAAACGCCCTTATGTTACAAGGAAAACCCCATACGACACAAGATTAAACTGAGTATAAGCTGACAAAATCCCAAGATGAGATTAAAATCGAGGATTTAAACCGAAAAGACCCTTCAGAGATGGGGTAAGAAGGGTTGAGATAATAGAATATGAGGATTTTAGCTTGCCAAGTACCAGTGTATCATTACCCATTACTTCTAGGATCGTAACCTGACTCAATTCAAATGGCATTTTTTAATTAAGCGTGCTTAAGACAGAGAAATCCAAGGATGAGTGACTATTGGGAAGCAAGATAAAAAAGGTGCAACTACTGAAAGTAAGTCATGTTTGGCATAAATGCACAAAGTTTAGCAGAAAGTTAAGGAAAAATAAGGGACATTCTCCTCGGGTAACCTTGCAATGACAGTCAAACTAGAGGTTTAGTTTTGAAATTTCGAGGAAGAAATTTCTTTAAAAAGGGGGAGAATTGTCACCTCCTAATTTTTAGACCTAATAGCCCCGAGAATAACCCAAAATAGGTAGGCTACTAAGCCTCTCAGAGCAAAAGTCCCAAAAATGAGAAGAAAAAAAAGTCAAAGTAGTTTCAAGGACTAAACTGCTAATTAAGAAAGTCACTGGGGGTAAACATATAAGTAATTTTGAGGTTTTAGGAGAGTCTCAAGGGCCCGGAAAGAAAAAAAAGAGGCCAGGTACAGGCCAAAGATTAACTTAGAAGCCTCAAAGAGATGTTTTATAAGGTTAAGTTCAAGTAGGGACTAAATTGTAATTTCAGAAAGTTACAAGCCAATAGGGGTAAAAATGAAAAGTATATAGAAAATTTTAAAAAAATCCTAAAAAATAGAAAATAATATTCTAAGACTCTTTTGTAAAGAGAAATGATGAAAATACTCCTGAGGCAACTTAAATGGAATTTATAAAATTATGACTCGGTAAAAAGTACACCGATTGAGGTAATTATTTGAGATAGCAAGAGATTTCAAAAATGTACATAAAAATGAAGTTAAGAAGTTTAAAGGCTATGTTAATTTATAAAATTAGTCTCACTTTTAGAAGATTAGCAGAATGGTTGAATAAAATAAAAGCCTCAATTATGCTGGTTAAGGTCATTTCAGTAAATGATTTTTATGCGAGGCTTAAAGGAAGTGTCATGGCTTGAGAAAACTCATAGATCTTCTTTAGAATTAAAGAAAATTTATAGAATAAACAGAAGAATTTTCTGAGCTCTAGAATGCCATTAAGAAAGTCGAATAAATGTGAGACAAGTAAATAGGAAGGAAAATTGGAGACCAAATTTAATCCAAGGGCCAAGATCTATTCTTCCTTTCCTCTCTATTAGATTTATGCCACCTAGGTCTCTTTTAGAAGGATGATGAAGAAGATGATGTATTGATAATGTAAAAGTGCACTTGAAGTTTCAAATTTGCCCTTACAATTTCTACTAGCTTTTAAGGGCATAATGGCCCATTCAAGGCATAAGTTTTGGCTATAAATACCCCACCTTGGAAGAGTATTTTGGCAAGCATTTATAGAGGGGAAACTTAGGCAAAAATTGGAGAGAAAAACATAGGGGTGAAGGCCAAGAAGAAGGAACAAGATTCAAACTTCAAGATCAAGGTATGTGGTGATTCTAGCACCTGTCTTGATGCCTATTTCGATTAAGTTACTATCCGTATCTGACTTTGAAATTTGGCATGATTAAAGTACACTCTCTAAGATTTAAATTCATAGGTAGATCACTTCATTTGGATATGTGTATGATTTATGGTGATTTTTCAAAGTTAGGGTTTAAAATCTGGAAATAGTTTTGATCACTGGAGTAGCAGGAAACTTCCGTACAATTCTGGTACTGCTTCACACAGAAATGGTTCCTAAAACTATTTTTTCTTTAAACAAAACTTATGGATCTTTCAGTAGAACTTGGATCCATTTAGTTTTGATTTTTCTGACATTAATTACAAATTTTCAAATTTGAGTAAAAATTCTGGAAATACTAATGAATAGTACCCCTGAGTAATGTGACCCTTGTGGCTGTGATTAGGACCTTGAGACATCCAAGAGAAGGTTTGGATGTGGTTGACTGAGAGCTAGATGTTTGGGAAGCTTAGAGAGCAAGTTGAAGAACAAGAGAAAACTTATGATGCAAGGTAGTGAACTTACCTATTAACATTGCTTGATGTGATATGCTTGCGTATTGATATGTACATGATGATTGGTTGATGTTGTTGTTTTGGGTACTGTAATTGCTATTTATATGAGTAGATTATGTCTCTATAGCCATGCATTAAGTAGGTAGTATTAAGCATATTAATATGTCACTAATTAAGAAGAGATTTAGCAAGTTACATATAATACATTAACATCCATCTAGCATGATTAATATGGTATTGTTTACTATTGAGATTCTCTTGAATCTCACCCCTCCCTAATCAACTATTTAGGTCAAGCATGATGAACAATGGTTGCATGAAGAGAAGCTAAGAGATTAATGCAAAGAAGTAGAGAATTGTTAGTATTACTATGTGATACTTAAATTCTCTAGTTACGTAATAATTATGAAACATGCCAATTTATGTAATTTAGCTGTATATGACATCAGTGGCATGTAAGAATGAGTATGGGATGTAATGAGAATGCATGAGATTGAATTATGCATGCTTAGATTCTTAAAAGAATTAAAGTAAGAATTGTATAAGAGATAAAATGTAGGTCATGGAGCAGTCAGTTTTTAGCTTCAATTTGACCTACCAAATGAATGAATCAAACCAAAAATTTTAGCAGACATATAGTCCACATCACAAGCTTTAAAATGAGAGGTAGATCACCTTAATTAGATGTGTATACAAGGAGATATGATTTTTCAAATTTGAGGCACATAATCTGGAAGTTCCAGATTAGACTCAATAAACAGTAATTTTTATGAATTAAACTGTATGAATTGGCAAGAGATAAGCCCAGTTGATTTTTTTCTTAAAAAGCATTGAAGGAGCATCGAGTAGAAATTTGGAGCACCTCCATACAATTTTTATAAAATTAGTTATGATTTTTCAAAGTTGGACTTGTAATCTGGAAATATGCACAATAAACAATACCCTGAGGACCTAAAGGAAAATTTTAATTTTTGGGCCCAAGTAAAGCTTCTGCATAACCAATTCACTTCCAAACGCATACTCTGAGAGGTAAAAGTAAGACCTTTCAACAAAAAAGTTGCCGCTGTCATTTAGTGGTGACTTTTGTGTTGCTACTAAAGGGTCTTTCAACGGTGACAATGTCGCCATTGAAACTATACTTTTTGTAGTGACTCACTTCGTCACTGCTGATAAGTTTCAGTGATAGTTGCTATGGCAATAACTCGATTGTTGCCATTGAAAACTTTCAATGGCAACTTTTTCACTTTTAGCGACAACTTTTGTTGCCACTAAAAGTCAATTTTTTTGTAGTGTCAATTCTAAAGAGTTAACTTCAAGAATTGATGTTGTACCAGGAACCTATTTGTTAATATGGTAAGGATCTCAATCTACTAAGGAATGGAACACAAATTCGAATATCAGAAAACGCATTTGTTGGAAAGGTTTTAATCTTAACGCCTCTGGTCTGACAAAGATTAATAAGTTGACTATAGGAAATGACGAGTTTACTTTAGCGAATAACAATTTCAGTAAATCAAATCATAATTTGGCTGAGGGGCATTTCAGACATTTTACCAAGATTTCATATTTGCAATATGGGACCGGGTCTTTATCTGCTATTTTTCAAATTTAGGGTCCCAAATCGCATTTTTACATATTCAGGAATCTTTATTTACCATTTTCCCTTGATTTTTCCTATTAATAATTTTTCCAAATAATTATTTAAATTTTAAATTATAGACTTTTCTTTTTCCTTTTTATTTAGATTATAACTGGAAATAAATTTTTAATCTCATCTCACCCATGTCACACTTAATATGACACCATTGATTTATTTCAATAAAGATAATATGTCAAAATTGTCTAAGTATTATCAGAATAAAATTGAGAAATCAAGGATTTTCTCCCCTATATAAGTAAAAGTTACCATCAATTGTTTTATTTTATTTTTATTTGAAATGTGCGCTGTAACGCATGAGACTATTGAACAATCTTGGAAAGGTCCCCACAACCTTAATAATTACCATAACTTTAACTTGCATAATTCAACATAAAGAATTCTTAATGTAATAAATTCAATTGAATTTTTATCGAATATAAATTAAAAATTTACATTTATTGTTATTATTATTATAGTCGTATATGTAATTAAAGACAAATTTTTATATGGTAGTTATAAAGTCAAACATAATTTCTAGGAATAGGTGAGTTTTTCTTGGGAAGGAATTATGTGAGGTATTTTTCTATATAAGAAACCCTTCACTTTGGTTATGAAGCCACTCATCCCAAGCCAATTGAAAGCTTTTCTTCCTCCTTCCTCAAACGAAAGCTTATGGATCCCTTCACTATGTCGTCAATCACCACAGCACCAGTGCCTCCAGTGAAAGCCGGACAAAGGCTGGAGACTCCCCCGCTGGGCTCCCACCACTTTAGGCCCCACTCTGACAGTAACTCCAGAATTACCAGCTACAATAAGCTGGCTCCATTTGAGCCTTTTGACGTAGACTTTATTGATGACCCTCTTCCTCCGCTTCCCGACCTTTCCATTGACCCAACCACATCGGTGGAGTTGCCCACTACCGCTGATTTTTCGCCAGAGGAATTGAGCTACCTACACTCCAGGCTCAACATGCCACTAGGGTCCCTTGGGGACCAAATCCAGAGCTTGTCTATGGACTCCCCTTTCATGGACTACATCACAGGCGGTGGAGATTTCATTGGAGCAACCGAGAATCTTGCAGGGAATGATGCTATTCCGGTGAATCCGGTGGTGAATCAGGCGCAGGTTGTTTACATGGATGCTTCAACTACTGTGTCCACGGAGGTTGATGTGTCTATAGCAAATGAAGTGAAAAAAGCCATGCCTATTGATAAGATCACCAAAGTAGCTATGTTAGATCCCAAGCGAGCTAAGAGGTTGATAAAGATGCTTCTCTTTTTATCGGTTATATCTTCATATTTTACTGTATATTTATATGTAATAATCAATTTGTTTTCACTTTATAGGTACAAATTCTTCATTCAAAGAACACCCAGTTTTCAACAAAATGAAAAAAAAGAACCCCCAGTTTGATACTACTGTAAACTTCGTCTTTTGTTTTCTTAAATCGCTTAAGAAAATCTAGTGTCATTCTTAATGAAAAATAATTCTACAAGTGGTGAAGTTGGAGGCACACAAATATAAGTTGAACCAGATGCTAAACATGTTTAAAAATCTGGCATGTATATACGGAATGAAAATTAGTATGAATTACATAAATCACGGCTTGTGTGAATAGTATGATTTGCAATGCGAATTTGATTCTTGAGTATTAATTGATGATAATGAGTGTTTTGTGTATAGGATTCTTGCAAATAGGGAATCTGCTGCTCGGTCTAAAGAAAGGAGGACTCGTTACGCAATGGATCTAGAGAAGAAGGTGCAGATACTTCAAGCACAGTCAACTGAGATCTCTGTCAAGCTTGCGAAAACCAAGGTCTGTGTATAACAAAGGTTTCTTAGCTTTAAATGTTGAAAACAATTTTCAATTTATCTCAAAAGAGACATAGCTTTCCTATCCAAGTTTTCTTTAAAGTAGTTCTAATTTGAAGAATCGTATAACTTGTTTATTTAGGTGTATTCTTTTTTTTTTTTTTTCAAAACTAACTTTCTATATATCTAGTTAAATACGAGCCGAATCTAAAGGATTATCAAAACTTTATTCATATTGTGCATGAAATTTATTCAGTTCTATATACGTATGCTGCGTGCATGTAACAAATCATATAGCAAATATAAGTTTTTCTTTATAGTATCTAACCCTCCGTCCCAATAGAAGAGAGGACCAATACATAGTCACCTCTATTTTAGCCACTTGGGGTATAGAATACACATTTGAGTTTTCTTAAAAAAAAAAAAAGAAAAAAAAGTTTTGATTTCAGGAATCATTTGACGTGTTTATTTAATTATATTCTTATTTTTCTTTAATAGCAGACTTTTCATATATCTAATTAAACTCTTGCATTACCTAAAGATTATCATAAACTTCATTCATATTGAGCATGAAATTTAGTTATAAGTACGCACGCTACGTATGAATGACAAATTGTATAATAAATATATGATTTATTTAGACAATATTTAATCCCTATAGAAGAGAAGACCCACACATACTCGCTCCTATTAATTATGGCTACTTGGAGTATAGAGCACACATTTAAGTGATGCTTAATTTGTGACTTATCTACCAGTTCCAGTTCGGAACATCTCATCTTCTCTTCCCTCCTCTTCCTTTTTCTATCCCTTAGATTAATATTTCAACGGCTGAGATTTAAATTTTTCTAAAATTATTATTAAAATATTAAATTATAAAATAAATAAATAATAAATTACAAGCAGTTAACATTTAATACTAATGGTTTGCAAATGCACTAAATATTTTAAAAAAAAATTATAGAAAATTTATAAAAAATTTAAAATCTAAACTGTTGAAAAATATTAATCCAATAGTTAGAAGGAAAAAAAAAACGAAGGAAGATGATGGAAAGGGAAGAGGAGAGGCTCCGCTGCCTTTGGAGAAAAAAAAGGCTGTAAAAGGATAAATGATGGTGCCCTTAATTTAGTAGTTATCTGATTCATTACCTCATGTTCCTTTGATCGATTCTACTTTCCATCTATTGCAGACGGAAAATTCGGACCTGAAAGCTAAGAAGAAGGGGATCTTACGTGAGATAGAGTTTATGGAAGAAACAGCTAAGCTTAGAGAAGGTACTTGATGTATTGTTCCAGATTTTCCAAGTGGGGTTTGTTTTCTGCCATTAATCAAATAAAGATTGTTATTAGAAATAAAATTTATCGAACTATTCTATATTTTGCTTCCAAAATTCTTGAAGTTATAGGAAAAACCACATTAATTACTTGAATTTAGTGCGCAAAGATTCTTGGCATATGAATAATACACTAATTCTTCCCTTGCCTGCAGAACTGAATGAAGCTTTAAGCTATAAGCTGAGGCAACTTAAGAAAGAATATGCACAAAAAGTTGCATATAAGAACCACAATTTTCGAGGGTTACTCTCTAAATTTTCTTCCCAGCTAGCAGTTTATCAAGTGAATTTTCTTCGATACTCGCGGCTAGAACAACTTGGCATGCCTCCGTCGCACTCAAATCAGCAAGCATAAGATTTGCATTATCTTGTGGATTTTCTTCATAAGTTTAAGAAGGTTGAACTTTGCGACTCGTTTTATTCGAGAGTTTATTAATCGCTCCCTTAATTAGTCTCTTGTCTGTTATGTTCTTGTCAGGTAGACTTATGTTAAGGGCGAACTAGAATGTGAAAGATTGATGCTTGATAACAAATGAAACTATTTTACTGCATAAGCTCCTTCTAGTTAGATCACATTGATGAAATTTGACTAGTTACGTCTTATTTTTTAAGAAAGTTTATTCTCATTTCAGAACTTAAATTTGAGTATAATATGTGCTAAAAAAAATTGAATATAAGATGACTGGTATGCAAAGAAATTTGAAAATTTGAAGGCGTATTTATATTTGCCTCAAAAATCACGCCTTCAAAGCTTCATCAGATTACGTATTAACCGATGCCTCAATTCTTGAAACCCGACACATTTATGTGTAACATCACTTACATGGAACCAGTTTCAGTACTTATTGCTTTGATGAGTACCCTAAGCTTATCAAATCTGAACCGTTCATATCTCATTTGGATGTTCGAATTTGATTTCTTTTTTATTTTTATTTTTTGAAACAATTATTTTAATATGTATAGAATTTAAAATAAACATAATCTCTTAACTATCATTTTTTTTTAAAAAAATAGTTCTTTCTATTTAAAAATAAATAATTAAGATTTTAAATTTAGATCGTTCAAATCAAATATAGACAGTCCAGATCTGATGACTATTAAAACTAGTTCCCATATTATATGCATGCAAGTTAGAATGAATTAGCATTTCTGAACTTAATAGCAAAGGCATCCTTCTAATGAAAAGCAAAGCAATGATTCCTTCAACATATGTGCATATACCAATATTGGCGCTAAACGAGTTCAAAGAATTACAAAAAGGGTGAAACTTAGCTCCTAACCATTACAATATTCATAAATGTTAAACCACCCGCCACAGTAAGATTTCTAGGGCATGTACATAATCTTCATTACTTCCTATCCCTACGGTCACATTGGTTGAATCATCATTAACAAGTATCCAAGCGTGTGATTCAATGCAGTTTAGGAAAGCATTATTTGTGGTGCGAGAGCTAAGACTTACATAATAATAAGCAGAACCGGCGCCTGTGAATTATTCCTAGTGGGAGCCAGCATGCGCTCACCACTGGAGTGGTTAGAACTGGGCAAGATGTAGGGTGTGTTTGGATTGGCGGTAGAAAAAATGACTTTTATTCTATTTGATTTTTGTAAAATTCAATTAGGGTAAAAGTCAATTAGTATAATGTGATTTATGTTTGGATTGACGTTTCTAAAATGTCAATTTAAAAAGTTAAAACTTGTTTAGATGGATAATTAAAAAATAAGTTTAGATATAAAATGATGGAAAATGACATAAGTTTTATAATATACTACCTCCAGTTCTCAATATAAGACCTAGTTAACTAATTTGGAAGGACTAATGAAGTTAAATAAGTTGCTTTAAAGTGTTTTATATTTATCATTTTTCTTCAAATTAATTTATTTGACTTATAAACTTGTGTGTAATCTAAACATTTAATAATACATATAAGTATTTTAGAAATATCATGTAACATACAATACAATTAAGTAATTTATTTAGCTTCCTTAATCTATTCAAGTTAGTCTTTTGGGGTCTTATATTAAGGAGTGAAGGTGGTATATGATATGTATACAAGTTGATAAATTTTAGAAAAATAATAAATTAAATTAATTAAATTTTATTAGTTAATTTTTTTCATCTTAGAAAAAAAAATCAAATTATTAGGTCAAGATAGGACCTATTTAAATACTCTAATCTTTCTTTTTCATCTTTATTCCTTCTCTCTCCACGTTACAAACACCAAAAGCTAGAAATCCTTGCATTATAACGCACTAAGCTTTTTGTCCAAAAGTTAGTTTGAGTAGTAGCCTACCGAAACAAACTTTTATCACCAAATGAGTCACCAACATTCGTTCTCTAGTTTCCTTGGCACGTTATCTCTCCAAAACGGAGATCCAAATGAGTGCTTAGTAGTTTTCACCATTTCAAACCAAGCTACAATCTATGTCAAACACATTAGCTTTTGATGATTTTGAGGGTAAGGCAACGAGAAGCCTTAAAAAGATATGTACAAAAACTTGATGTTACACGGGTCGTAAAAATTAATACTAGCAAATCAAGGTCGATCATTCAAACAACTCAATTAACTGGTGTTTAGGCAATAAAAATCCTCTTTTCCTTAAGTTGAATAAATCAAGATTTAATGAAATTGAGTGAAGAGAAATTACAATAAAGAAAAACAAAGTTTTATCAAATTAACATAAACAAATAGTAGGAAGACTAGCCTAGAGTCACTAATATGCTTCTTAAACCTTGTTTCACTGGATTGATTAGCTTTAATGTCAAGTTTGTTAATCTCCAGTTTAACTAGCTACAACTGCTTGTTGGTCCACTTATAACTCTATCTTAAATTAAGTATGTTATCTTTCACGTTGAAGGAAATAATATAAATAGAGAAAGGAAACATACCAGGTCGGTTCTGGGTCGTGATGCTGGTAGCTCACACAGTATCCTTACTACCAGAGTCTTGATAGAATGGCACAGCAGATGCACTAGAGAGAGGAGAGGAGAACACTGGAAAGCTCAATGGTTAGAGTGAAAAGAATGGGTGGAAGCACCTCCTATTTATAGGGCCAGCATGACCAGGTGCAATCTTCCCTATTTATTGTAGGATAATATTTCAATTCCCTGATCAACAATTAATATCTGATTGATTTCTGTCCAATCAGTTTGATTGAATATTCCCTAATCAATCATAAATTGCTTCTGATTTGTGATTGATTTTCTTGATCTGAGAGACTCTCTTCTCTTGGATCAAGTAGTTCGGCCTATCATAGCCCATCAAGGGCAGACTCGGGCCTAATATCTAACATCTCCCAGTCGCACTTGATAGGTCGACCATTATGTGATTCTCCTTCTTATTTCATACTTGGTGCTCTATTGTGACGCGTGGGCATGACGTCTTCTATTTTGGATGCTCGTTTACTAGAAACTCCTGAGGCGAAGCCAATGCACAAGGATATCTCCGGTATGTTTGGATGTTGCCTCAAATGTCTTAGATTTACCCTTACACTTTTCTCATGGTGTGTCTAATCCCTCTCGAGTTAGGCTTATCTAACTCAAATCGCCCACTTATATGCATAGCATCCACACTTGTGAGCTACTCAAGATGCTCACAAGGGACATGTCACAGATACCATTATAATTGTGTAATTCAGGGTTAATCTTCCTTCTAACTAGTCATCATTCAAGTATAACTTCATTGCTTTCCAAGTATTTGACCCATTAGACCGGATCTCTCATGATCATAAGGTGCAAGCCAAGATAGCAAGTACTAGGCTATCCCTTCATAACACTATCTAAGTCTTAAGGGCATCATGAAAGGTTTGTTCCTTTTAGGGACTCACACTGAACTGGGATAAGGGATCTTCCTACTCGCATCCTGGTTGCGGTTGATAGAAGCACATGCAGTATGAATTGCATGTCACGATGTTCGTCTTAATCTGTTAAGAGTGTGTGTCATGTTTCTTTAACACCGTGCATATTATAGTTCTAGGCATACTTAGTGCCTAAACTAGAGCTCTTCACTTGACACATAACGACATCCTCCAAGATGAGTTCTTTATCTGGCCACAGGCTCCATGAATTGTATAGATGTTTATGATTTGACCTATTTCGTGTATAGGTCTTATCTCAAATTCACTTAAGGCGAAATGTGTGTGATGATACTTCTTAACCATTCCATGGCTCTTGCTACATGGCTGGAGATCACGTAATGTCTCATTTCTGTGTTCCTCGTGAACGTTTGAAGGCGGTTACTTGTGTGAGAGTCAACCTTATCCTGTACAACACTACAAGTTTTGTATACCATTGGATGATTTGAAAAAGAAAGTGCATAACTTTATTGAATGAAAGAAAGTTTCAATACATCAGGTTCTACCCATGCCCATAGCCTTTACATGTTTAATGAAAGGGTCTCTTGCTATGGGCTTTGTAAGGGAATTAGCTAACATCTTTTGAGTGGAAAGGTGTTGAACGTGACTTTTTTTTAGCAATCATATCTCTTACAAAATGATACTTAATGTCCATGTGTTTGGTCCTACTGTGATATTTTGGATCCTTAGCATAAGTTATTGCTGCTTGGCTATCACAGTGTATGAAAACTAGTCCCTTGTTCATGTCATTCATTGGTAATTGCTCCAAGAACCTTTTGAGCCATGTAGCTTCTTGAACGGTGGCAGAACACACCACATATTTTGCTTCCATGGAAGATAAAGATACGTATGTCTGTTTCTTACTTCTCCAGGAAATTGCTCAGTTACTTGGGAGGAATGTATATCTTGAAGTAGAGTAGCACTCATAGAGATCTCCTGCTTAATCAGCATCAAAGAATCCTTCCAAGCGTAGGTAATTGCCATCATAGCACAATTCATAGTCCAAGTTTGATTAGAAACGGCTTACAAGTCTAACTACAAAACATATGTTTGGTCTTGTACATAACATTGCATACATCAAACTGCCAACTGTACTTGAGTATGGGACTCTTTTCATGTGCTCTACATCAGATTCTTTTATAGGGTATAGATGCTGTTGGAAATTGTGCCCTAGGGGCCAATCATTGTGTTAAGAACATTGTTGATTTATGAATTTCTTAATTATGTTATCATATTATTTGCATGTTTAGTGTGATGACTATCCTTGGATAACTCATGATTTTATCCTAAATGTCCCTGGTCGGTCATCTATGTGGGAGCAGAGATGAAATAAGACTAGTATGACTTTGAAGATGTATAGAGATATAAATCAAAGTCATAGGCACATGTAAGAGTACAAGGTGTTGGACCGACCCGCTATGAGAAAGCTGCATGGGTTAAGTTATAAGCTTCTCTCATATACAAACCATGTCACTATGCCCTTTGACTTGAGATCATCAT